CTTCCAATATTGGACACAGCTTGTCATTACATGTCTTAAACTTTTGGCAGAGATATTACGGCTAGCACAATCTTAAGGTTACATATGCGGATGTTATGCAATTATATGATAATTGTAGATGCAAGAATAATAAATGTACAAGACAATTCGTAGTATAAAAAATTAAGCACCTAATTCAATGGTTTATAACGCATCATTTAAACTGCAGTTATTCTGCATAAAGATCTGGCAGTCTGGCCATAAATTCGTAGATTATTAGAAAAAGTTTCGTAAGGGAATTTATTTATTTCCAGCAGTCGATTTCCAAATCGCGCGAGACGTTCGTTCTTCCTGTTTCGACGGTAATTTTGCACGGTTCCGCCGAGCGGTTAGGAAGCGATTCCGGGCAATTAACGACGGCCATTAATTCTGACGACCATTGTGTCTCTGAACAGGAGCATGAAGAGAAAACGGGCAAACCGTTGTTCGATTCGATTACGCCCCTTGCCTTGCCTTGCCGTCGCTGCAATTGGGAATGTGAAAATCTTGAGACGATCCTTTATGAAAATAGCCGAGAAGAAATCGATACCTAATCAAGCCCAGGGCAATTAGAAAGTATCACTGATTTCCCGTAACTTCTTCTCAACTCTGTATCAATTATTTCTTTTTATTAACTATATGAATTATTATTTCGTCTTGAACATTTCATCTTGCAAACCAGGTTGATCAACTTCAAGTTCAGATTTCATTATCATTAGTCAATTCATTAAAATGTATTCCATTCTTCATTTAATTTAATTATGTAACTGTTTTGGAAAGGGGTGTGCATGAAATACAGATTTTACTTTATGAATCACTGATTGAAGTAGTGAAAGTGGTTTTTTCAATGGATTCTAAGAAAGTTTCAACTGGATGCTGAGTCGTCCTTGATCGTGCCACTATTAAATTGACAAAAGGAACCGATAGGCTATTACGGAGGGAAGAATGACTTTTCGAATCGAGTCGAAGGTCCGTCTTCTTACGTCAAGAGAAAGAACCGCGCAGCTTGCCGGAATTTTGCGATTTCATCGTTCTCGGTCGACGTGTCCGGTCCTCTAACGTCACGTTGCTCGCGTAATATCCTCGTGCAAATTTCCTCGCGCGTAACCCGGCGCTCGCATCCGTTTCGGTGATACGCATTCCATTCACGAAAGAAGAAAAATCTGCAGGAAGTATGTGGAATTCCAGGAACGCAGCAGCTCTAATTAATTAGTTCACGCGAATCCTGGATCTTTTTGCGCAAATGACAAAAGCCTTCCTTCTTCTTACAGATAATGAATCGTTCAAGGAATTCCCTTTGTTATACGTTCCTTGAAAAATTTCAAATATTCTTTGACACTCCAAATAAAAATTGTTCAATCTTTTCATGTGCCAACATTGATGGAATCCTTGATTATCATTTTTTAATTAAAAATACAATTATGATTAATATTTGAATTTTTTTGCTATTGTAGCCGAATAGCAGAACATATTTCAATTTTTTTTTTTGCTATAAAATGTTGCAACAAATGCAGAGAAGCTTTTGTTTAGTCGTGTTATCTGAATGGGTTTAATGGTGACTGGATTGAAACGGATTTGGCTGGGTATGGACAGGCGGTTGTCGAACGGGTGCGCGAAGGAAAATATCTGACTTTCCAGTTCACGGAGAAAGTTATATGCTCTAACGACTTGTGCGCGCGCGGTGCGCCGCAGACTCGTCTAGATAAATAAAAGGTGCACCCGATGATCCTCGACGGGACGGTCGCCACCAGGTTTCATGGCAGCGGCAACGCGACGACCCAGTTTTTCCACCTTTCGACGATACGCGCCTCCCGTGCCGCTCGAACATTTCGTTTCGTTTACTCGAACACTCTCGATCTCGAATCGGCAGATCGTGCACCGATAGATTAGACTCCGGCTCGTGTGTCACGCGAGAGACATTGACTAAGAAAAATTCCGAGATTTACATCAGCCTTGACCGGTGATAAATCATTTCACGCACTAACGTTCAGTCGTGAGTCAATGAAATCCGAAACGATACTTCATACCGTTTTCAGTCGTCATAAAACGTTTTAATGATGTTTAGAAATTTTTTTTATACAGTTCCGTTTGGTAACCAACTGAATTGGGGTTAAGCATTAAGGAAATTCGGTTTCCCTTAAGGAACGTGAGTGTAGTCGTAACCTGGGAAACGGTGAATCACAGAAGCCAGTATGTATGATTGTTCGACGAACAATGCCGGAAAAGTGACACGGCCGGGATAAATTTCACGCTTCTAATTACCATCGGAATTAAAGAGCATCGAGAGTTTCAAAGAAGAATCTAGCTAGAGCGAACAATTGCATTCTCAGATCTAATTACAGATTACGTCGAAAGGTTCATATATAAGATTCCTCGAGAGTCAAATATTTACAAAACAAATATTAGTATTT